GGCAGCGCTTGTAACAATCCACATTTCAATTTGTGCGGAACCTTAGAGACAGCACAAGTCTGGCAAGTATTGACATAGGGAATTGACATAAGTAATAACATCAACCTTAAGAGAGGGCCACCAGAACTTTCTTGTTCCTGCTGAAATGGTTTTGCGAGTACCTGGATGCCGAGCTGTAACGTCATTATGAAATATAGCAAGAATCGCCCTTCTTTCAGTTTTAGGAACAAACAGGAGACCTGAAGGTTTATTACTAGGTGCCTGAGGTTGAGCCGCGATTATGACAAGAAGAGGCATGGACAAAAAAAGGACAGTGGAAGCCAAAATACATTCAGGAGGAATAATAGGAGTGTTCTCTTGCTCCGGTTCTTCCTCCGTCTCAAACTGGCTAGATGGTCTCTGTTTCTAGAACCAGGCCTATAAGTGATGATATAACTGAAATGAGAAAGAAACGGAGATGTCTAACATGTCTGGATGACATTCTTTTAGCCTCTCCTATATTTTCCAGGTTTTTATGATCTGTTATGAAGGTCTTTGGATCCTTCCAATGGATGTCTCCAATCTTTAAGTGCCAATATGATTGCCAATAGCTCTCTGTTACCTATGTCATAATTTCTTTCCGCTGGGGATAGCTTTTTAGAAAAGAAGCCACATGGGTGCAGGGGTTCATCGTGATTTTCTCTCTGGGACAGTATAGCATCAACCCCTGTTTCAGAGGCATCCACTTCTAATATGAAAGATCTGCTGGGATCAGGATGAGCAAGTATAGGAGCTGAAGCAAAAAAAGCCTTGAGTTGTTCAAAGGCATTAATGGCTTCTTTTGGCCATAATGTACATTTAACCATCTTACGTATCAAATTGGTGATCGGGGCTATTATCGTAGAAAAGTTTTTAATAAATCTACGATAATAATTGGAAAACCCGATGAACCTTTGGATAACCTTTAAACCATAAGGTAGAGGCCATTGCAACATCGCTTTTAGTTTCTTAGGATGCATCTTGAATCCTAATGCAGATATCGTACAAATCTCACACTTCAAGAATACAATCTCCTGCCGCAAGATAGAGAACTGTATACAGATTAGACAACAACCAAACGTCCAAAATGTGGAACGTGAAACAAATGCCTAGCAACTATTACACTGAACTAAGTCTGCCATTCCAGTAAGGTGAATAATTTAAATCAAACGAATCTTAACTTTTTATTTATCCTCCTGAATACCTCAGATTACCTCCAGTTTATCTCCAACTACACACTTAGAAGCAACACTTAGATAAAGCAACCAAGCTATATTAGCCAAGCTAATGACAACAACCCTTATATATCTCCTAAAATCACCACCCACTAGGAATGTTTAACACCTGGGTAGGCCTGTGCAACCACACACTTAGAAGCAACACTTAGATGAAGCAACCAAGCTATATTCGATACAAAGATAAACCCTGCTCCTCCGTATCTGACATTTAGTTACAGCATCCTGTATATATTCCTCCATAATATTACTTTCCATGGGAGACAGGGCATAAACTCTCCATTTTGGGGGTATAGTACCTGGCAATAGATCTATAGGACCATCATAAGTTCTATGTGGTGGAAGTGTATCAGCATGTACTTTATTAAACACCTCCTTTACCTCCCCATATTGGGAGGGAACCGTAGTGGACAATGTAGAGGCAGTAGGAACATTGATAGTACCCATTTGTTTCGTTATAGGCTTTAAACATTTGTCCTTCACCCCACTTTAGTATGTCCCCTCTCCTCCAATCTATATGTGGATCATGTTTGATTAGCCATGAAAACCAAGTACAATGGGACAAGAGGGTGAGGAGATGACCTGAAAAGTGATCTTTTCCTTATGCAAGGCCCCTACTTGCAATAAAACAGGTTTCATGGGTAATGAGCGGATTCCCAAGAGGTCTACCGTCTATGGCCTCAATGGCCAAAGGTGTTGACGTTAGAGGTATTTTGTGTGTGGACACAAAGTAAGCATCAATAAAGCTTTCTGCTGCTCCTGAGTCTAATAGGGCTTTGCAATTGACCTCGAAGTTGTGTAACAAAATGATAACAGAAAGGAGAAGTCTCAAAAGAGGCATAGTGGGGGACTGTCAGGAATAGCTGATGCCCAACACGCAGAACTTAAGTAAATATAAAAGAAAATCCCAAGACATATTACCGGGCCTTAGAATGGCCGGATTTAACGTATAAAAGAAAAAACCACAAGACAGCATAAGGACAAGAATGCAGAAATCACGGAAACAATGAACATGCCAAGGGTCAAGGAATGTATAATTCAGACTAGTCAGGAGCCAAGCCAAAGGTCAAGGAATACAGAGATTGGATATAGTCAGAAGGAAAGCCAAGGTCTAATACACTAGAATCAATACCAGAAACACGCTCTCGGATAACCACAATGGAAACCACGACAGGACACAGAGTAGTGGACAAAAAAGGTTTATATAGCCTAGGGGCCTCCCTGATTGGCTGTAGGGAAGCATGTGATAGTGTGTGTGTGTGTGCGACACACCCACATGTCTAAGGGTTAAATTACAAACCCTTAAAGGCATCAAAGCTGCAGCGGCCGGCGTCTCTAATGATTGCAGACTTAGTCGCTGTGTGAGGGGCTACTGTCTGGAGCCTAGGTGAGTGATGGGCGGCATTCCCATTACCACGCCGGGACCCATACCGCTCTCTGGCAGGGACATATACATAACACCTAAGGCCAATCCCCTAATGGTACTTAGGTGCAAGAGTTTTCTGGACGAATCGGGCAATGTAGACTGAATTGTCTCTCTGCTTCAGATAACCTCTTAACTCCCAACTGCATAGGTTCAGGGTCAACAATAACAGTAGGGGGTTTGTGAACAACAGGGTTGGAGAAGCGGGGAGTGAGAAAGGTGCTATTTCTTCTAGGTTTGTTTCTGATCCTCTCCCTTTTTCTTAGCCTGTTGTCTATCTGTATCATATAAGTTATATACTCGTTAAGTTTGTTTGGCAAGTCTCTGGCAGCAACCTCATCTAGAAAGGTATCGGACAGCCCTTCAGTGAAAACGGCGATGAGGCCGCTGTTTGTCCAATCCACCGCTAAGTCAAGAGTACGAAACTCAATGGCATAATCAGCAACAGAGAGATTGCCCTGTCTTATGCGCATGAGGGCTTTCTCCACATCCATTTCCTTACCTAATGACTCAAACGTTAGCTTGAACTCAGCTAGGAATTCCGCATAATCATATGCTATAGACTTCTTGCTTTCCCATAAAGGGTTTTCCCAGGTTAGTGCCTTCCCTATCAACTGATTCATCAGATAACCAATCTTGGATCTATCGGAAGGAAAGGAGCCCGGGGAGGCCTCAAAGTAGTACTCGATTTGGATAAGAAAACCACGGCATTCCTGAGAATTACCACCGAAATGAGGGGTTGGTAAGAGGGATATACACAGAGCCTTGTATACTATAGGTAGAACAGCAAGAGGAGGTCGTTGGAGGTAAACCGTACGGGCCAACAATGTCTGAAAGGCCTATACATGAATATATGCATAATACACTCTGAAAAAAACACATACACAAATATAAAATGTAACATGGGTTTCCAATTCCTCACAGGTTTATTCACTAAACTGCATAGTAGAAAGATAAAAATCCAAATTGTATATTTTGGGCCACAATAGCTGATTTGGAAAAATTCTTGCAGTTCAGATTTTCATTCACAAACATTTAGTCATTCTTTCTCTTGTATCAGGCCCCGGCTCTATAGTTTATGAAGGGTATGGACATATCATTTGAGAATAAACAATATAACTTCTTATTAAAATAAGACATACAGCAGCATACAGTCATTGTTTTGTTCCTATTATTAGACCTTTCCCAAGAAAGGATGGTAATGGGGCTGAATCACAGAACTTAGGGGGCCACCAGGGAGCAAGGCCCCACTGGGCCAGCAGTGACATGGCCATAAACACTGCTCCACTGGGCCACAAGGGTGCCTGACCATGATCACAGCCCAAGAAGCAGGGCCATAATCACAGTCCCACTGGGCCAATAGGGAGGATGACCTCTAGGAAATCAAGATGTTCATAACTCCCAGGTCAAAGGTAAGAAGGGGAAAAAAATTGAATTTTTTCTTTAACAATTCAAATGTGCACTCAGCCACACACAACACACTATGCTACTCACATAAAGCAACACACACCACTCAGTTTCATACACATCACTCATCATAGCCTCTCACACACCACCACATACATCTCTCACAGCTACCCAAATATTCACTCCCATGCATCATGCACTGCCACACAAATCACACAGCTATCCACATCCCACACAGACAGCCCTGTCGCACTGGGTCTTCTCCTGCAGAAAATACCAGATGTCTTTAAAGAGCTACATCATGGCCTGCAAGGTGTACTTGGAAGCAGGACCTATAGGTGCAGGCGCCCGGTGGGACCCAATTAATATGTTAAAATGTTCTAAAACAGTATGACAAATTACACTGGTAGGGCAAGGGCAGTCCTAGCACCATAAACATTACAGCAAGCTTCATGCAGTCCAACCGTCCCAAATTTGGCGGGGCTGAGAACACATAAGACCACTGAGAAGTGTACAGCAGTAGTCAAGGCGAGAGATGATAGCGGCATGGAGCAGCATTCTAACCGTATCCGGTGCTGGATAGGGGCTGATGCGACGAACATTTTTGAGATAGATTATAAGCAGCAGGATTTGGCAAGTGACTGGACATGAGGGGTGAAGGAGAGGTTGGAGTCAGAGAGAACACCCAGGGAATAGGATCGAGGGAACAAATTGTGGGACTGGAGGAACGAAGTAGAGCAAAAACCTCACGGTAGATAAAAATTAGATTTCTGCAATATAGTTTAGTTCTTCTAAAATCAAAATAATAATGCCAAAAATAAATCAGATTATGTAGTTTTTAATCCCAATAATTTGGTACAGTACTATAGGATGAAAACACTCTCCCTTTAGAGGACGCTAATAAAATGCTTACAGAGATTTCCTGGCATCAACAGACTGTAAAAGCAAAGTGCTAGACAGCATTTAGAACCCAGAATTCTGCAGTTGTGCACCTTGCACAGCTAGAAACTTTGCAAAACAAGCGTTAACCCTGCCGGCTGGAACTATTTTAAGCTTCCTTGTTGCATAGGGGACAGAGTAGACTGGAGGACGAAGGCTGGGATGTTGTCAACAGGGAAGCAATGCAGATTGAGCAAGAGCATCAGAAATAAAGTCGTTTTGAGGATGAAAATAATGAAGTCACCTGCAATATGAAAGACAAAACGAACTTGCTGGAATTATTGGCCAGCATTGCACTGACTCAGCAGGTATGTATATTTTATACACAAGAGATACAGAGGTGTTTGTGTGTTCCACTGATTGTTGAATATTACTCCAATATTATTAATTATTTTAATTGTCTGAATTATCATGTCTACGATGAATACTATTATTTAATGCTTTCTCAAGTCCATATAAACCTTCATGTGTGCTTGCATATATTGGGTATGCTTGTAGACAGAAAAGAAAACACTTCTATTGTCTTCATGCTGCGCTGTCTACGCTGATTAAAGGGTTAATTGCCAGTAGATGATCTCATCCTAGAAAGAAAAGTGCAGAATCACATTAAAAGGCCTCTAATAATCTCTGTATCTACAGTGACAGATTCCAGTAGGCCCTGGTGGTACAGCTGCACAATGTCCTGTCATTGTCCTCCAGTTTCTTAACCCTTTATATAAAGCTGTCATATACTTGTACATGTGATCACAAATTCTTTGTTGTGTTTTGGTTTTATCCTTTCTTGAGATGATTTTTCTTTTTGTGTTATCATTCTATTCAAATTCAGGTTCAATTTAAGAATCTTCCCCAGTTACAAGAGACTGGCATTCTAATCCAGACAAGGCTCATTTTACTGTTTAAAATGACACAGCACCTTAAACCAAAAGTCCTTTGAATTGACTTAACACCATTAATCGTGCCATACATTCACGAATCAATCAAATCAGCATGCCAGTATGGCAATTAAATATTCATAAGAGTGAGCATGTAGAAACACCATTTATCATTTTATTATTAAAAGTGCCAACATGCCCCCCAGGTCTGTGCTCCTGAATTAGGTAAACAGGTGAAATGTTACATTGAATTATATATATCGGTTCCTGATTACTTAAAAGTCTAAAGGGAGTTCCAGTCAGACGATAAAATAGTATAATGCAAAATAAATATAACATCTGTCATTAAAATAAATAAATACAAAAGCCTTAATTTGAGATGTCCAAAAGAACATTACATGTGGGTAATCTACTGTAATTCTGTTGATATTGATACATATGAAATTTTCTTTTCTTTGTTAAAATACCAGCATAATTCTGCGGTATTGTACTAAATTTACAGATCATATACAAGGGGACAGAATTCAACACTGAAAAAGAATATGTAGAGATTACTTCTCACTAGGTATTAAAAACAGAAGGCATTAGGTATTGAAAACCGTAAGGTAGTTATGTTTGTGTATGTTTGTTTTATATGATCAAAAACATGTTCGGTAGCTCGTTCTGTAAATTCTTTTGATGTTATTTAATTATTTCAAAATATTAGTGTCACAAGGCTTAGGGCATATTCTAATATTGTTTTGAGGAGAATTTCCCAGCACTCAGATCCCGCTGCCTGCATGGGGTGTTACAATTATTATTTTCACTTTCTCTTTATCAATACAAATAATATGCAATGCCGTATGCTGATCTATAACAAGATTGGGCTGTGACAATTGGAGTCACTTCTGTACCACTGAATCGAAGAAAGGGATATCGCTAAGGTGAGATATTTGGATATATTAAACCGTTACCACTACTTTCAGTTTGGGGGGAGAGGATGTCAGTGCACTCCAAGCACCATAATGACTACATATTACAAAATGCTATTACTGTTTGCTCAGAATCTATACTCTTTGATTTTGGACAATGATGACTTATTGCAGAAAAAAAACATTTAAACGAAGTGCACAAATAAACTGTACATGTTATGTCATATGGTCAGTTTGATTCCTTCTGTGGTCCTTGGTAAACAAAACAATTTAATTCAACATTTTTTTTTTTGTTTGTTTTTTTTTTGTCAAATTAATTAGATCTATACCCAGAGTCTAAATATACAAAAATAATTCATCTGAATTCAAGCACTGGAAATGAATGTATTATTTATTTATTTATTTATTTATTTTAATATGTTCCTATTTTATTTTAGCTTGACAGCCACTAGTAGGTATGGAAAATGCAAGATGTAAACAGTGCCTTGTCTCAGAAATTACTGTTATTTCTTAAATGACTGCAGGGACAGCATCTGTGCCCCAAGATCACTTATTTAAAGGGATACTCCAAGCTTTATAACTACACTGCTCAAAAAAATAAAGGGAACACAAAAATAACACATCCTAGATCTGAATGAATTAAATATTCATCTGAAATACTTTGTTCTCTACATAGTTGAATGTGCTGACAACAAAATCACACAAATTAAAATAATTTTTTCAACCCATGGAGCTCTGGATTTGGAGTCACACTCAAAATTAAAGTGGAAAAACACACTACAGGCTGATCCAACTTTGATGTAATGTCCTTAAAACAAGTCAAAATGAGGCTCAGTAGTGTGTGTGGCCTCCACGTGCCTGTATGACATCCCTACAATGCCTGTGCATGCTCCTGATGAGGTGGCCGATGGTCTCCTGTGGGATCTCCTCCCAGACCTGGACTAAAGCATCTGCCAACTCCTGGACCATCTGTGGTGCAACGTTACGTTGGTGGATGGAGCGAGACATGATGTCCCAGATTTGCTCAATTGGATTCAGGTTTGGGGAACGGACGGGCCAGTCCATAGCATTAATGCCTTCGTCTTGCAGGAACTGCTGACACGCTCCAGCCACATGAGGTCTAGCATTGCCTTGCATTAGGAGGAACCCAAGGCCAACCACACCAGCATATGGTCTCACAAGGGGTCTGAGGATCTCATCTCGGTACCTAATGGCAGTCAGGCTACCTGTGGCGAGCACATGGAGGGCTGTGCGGCCCCCCAAAGAAATGCCACACCACACCATTACTGACCCACTGCCAAACCGGTCATGCTGGAGGATGTTGCAGGCAGCAGAACGTTCTCCATGGCGTCTCCAGACTCTGTCACGTCTGTCACATGTGCTCAGTGTGAACCTGCTTTCATCTGTGAAGAGCACAGGGCGCCACTGGCGAATTTGCCAATCTTGGTGTTCTCTGGCAAATGCCAAACGTCCTGCACGGTGTTGGGCTGTGAGCACAACCCGCACCTGTGGACATCGGGCCCTCATACCACCCTCATGGAGTCTGTTTCTGACCGTTTTGAGCAGACAAATGCACATTTATGGCCTGCTGGAGGTCATTTTACAGGGCTCTGGCAGTGCTCCTCCTGTTCCTCCTTGCACAAAGGCAGAGGTAGCGGTCGTGCTGCTGGGTTGTTGCCCTTCTACGGCCTCCTCCACGTCTCCTGATGTACTGGCCTGTCTCACACAAATTAAAATAATTTTTTCAACCCATGGAGCTCTGGATTTGGAGTCACACTCAAAATTAAAGTGGAAAAACACACTACAGGCTGATCCAACTTTGATGTAATGTCCTTAAAACAAGTCAAAATGAGGCTCAGTAGTGTGTGTGGCCTCCACGTGCCTGTATGACATCCCTACAACGCCTGTGCATGCTCCTGATGAGGTGGCCGATGGTCTCCTGTGGCATCTCCTCCCAGACCTGGACTAAAGCATCTGCCAACTCTTGGACAGTCTGTGGGGCAACGTGACGTTAGTGGATGGGAGTCCATAGCATCAATGCCTTTGACTTGCAGGAACTGCTGACACACTCCAGCCACATGAGGTCTAGCATTGTCTTGGCACCATGGCCACTTCTAAACAACTTTAGCTTGATAAAGCCGTTTTGATGTAAAGATCATGCTCCTGCAATCTTGCTGCTGAATTCACAGACGATTAGGAGATAAATCACTTTTGTTTATGCAGCCCTAGCCATGCCTTCCCTGCTGTGATTCACACTGACTACGTTAATACATTATTTAATTGTCAATCATATCTTCTAAATTAAACACTATGTAATATAGAAAAAAACATTAGACTTATTTTGTCGGAAGTGTGTGGGGAGACTGTGTGAGTCACAACAAAGGGAAAAGTGGCGAGGACTGCATAAACAAAGTGAGCGATAGAGCAGTGAGATTGCAGGCACATGTCCAATACACCAAAACCACTTAATTAAGCTATAGCTGTTTTGGTGCTTAGATTGTTCCCATAGTGATGAAACTTTAACTTTTGCACTACATGATATCTAACTAAAATGTAGTATTCATTTTTTTTTTTATTAATTTTGTTTTCATTTAGTTTCTTTGTCATACACCCATACAGAGAAAAAGAAAGAAAAAAAAAATGTTAATCATACAATTGAATGCAGTTTGACTGTAGGGATAACTTGAGTTAAACTACTTGTCTGATTATCGTTAAATCACAAAGTTTTAAGTAGTGCTAATACATTTTGAGTCAAGTAACCATGGAACCAAAACCATCTCCCTGTGGCAAACTTGCTGTCCTGGGCTGGAGCCCCGAGTCGGCTCCTGGAAATTTCCTGGTCAGATTTGGATTGCATCTGCATCTGCAATTAGAATTGTTATCTATGTCTCAAAATTACATTTAAGTTACACCTCCAATTACAAATATTTAAGTAATCTCTGATCATCTCAATTATGTAATTACACATTGAATAATTATAAAATTAGTTAATAAAAGAGATGCACAGTTTAAATAGCAAACAAAGGGGCAACAAAATGAAACAATATGCTGATGACCCTGATTCCGGTCTATAATCAGTGTTAGGCCGAAAACTGAAAATGACTTTTTTCACCAAATGATTTTGATGGGATAGGCCTATTTTCCACTGAAAATTTCAGTGCATCCCTACAGGCTATGTTGTGAAATCACAGACACACATTACAGGCTATGCTGTATAATCACAGCCAGACACACATTACAGGCCATGTTGTGCAGTCACAGACAAAAAAACAAGTAGCACAAAATAAGAAACCCAAGAAGTTTACCTATTAGGATCTACCGTATATACTCGAGTATAAGTCGAGTTTTTCAGCACATTTTTGTGCTGAAAAACCCCCACTCAACTTATACTTGAGTTAATGTCTGTATTATGCCAATTTACATTGCCAAAATACAGACCAGGACCGCCGGGCTCATTACAAGCCCGGCGGTCCTGTTGGGGGCTGACAGTGAGTGGTTACTTACCTTCCTGCAGCTCCTGTCAGCTCCCTTCTCCTCTGTGCAGCTCCTCTGTCAGCTCCCACTGTAAGTCTCGCGAGAGCCGCGGGGTCACCGCGGCTCTCGCGAGACTTACAGTGGGAGCTGACAGAGGAGCTGCACGGAGGAGAAGGGAGCTGACAGGAGCTGCGGGAAGGTAAGTAACTGCTCACTGTCAGCCCCCCCTCCTACACAGCCCATACACTGGACCACCAGGGAGTGAGAGCCCCCCTCCCTGGCAAGCTAACAAGCAGGGAGGGGGGACGAAAACTAAAATAATTAAAAAAAATACAATAAAAAATATTAAAATAAAAAATGTATAATAAAAATGCCCTCCTCCCACCCAGTTCACACAAACACACACTCTGCATTATATATACACACACTCATACAAACAATCTGCATTCTACACACACTCATACAAACACACACACACTCTGCATTATATACACACAGTGTGTGTGCGTATATAATGCAGAGTGTTTGTATGAGTGTGTGTGTAGAATGCAGATTGTTTGTATAATGCAGAGTGTGTGTGTATATAATTCTAAAAATCACAGAATTTCATAGCCCCAAGTTTTACCCTCGACTTATCCACGAGGCATAGCATATTTCACAATTGTTGGTCACAAAACTGCCCTCGACTTATACATGAGATCGACTTATACACGAGTATATACAGTACTTACTAGTCGGACAATCCAGTTATGTCCAAATTGCTTAACACTATACAGTTAAATATAAAGAATTTCACCTTATCCATCACTACGTGGATAAGTGGAGTCTGGCATAGTGTAGTTAGTATCTTATAGTAAACTGAATGATAATCCACTCTAAATACACAATATGATCACACCTCAAGTGCAAAAAAAAAAAATATTAGTGCTAGCCTTATAAGGTAGCCAGGGGAAACTGGAGGTAAGACCAAAGGTACTAGTCTAGAGAAGTCACTAGACTAGTACCTTTTGGTCTTACCTCCAGTTTCCCCTGGCTACCTGCAATGTATTTTATGTTTTAACCCCTTGTCTACCTTCCAGATTGATCTATTGTCTGTATAAAAGGTAACAGTTTCTGTGCTAAAAACAAACCTTTTTAATAAAACTCACGTACTTGAGTTTTTAAGCACTACTTTGGAGGTCTTCTACAGATATTTACAGCTGTAACTTGGTAGAAGAGTAGCCTTATAAGATAGTACTTACCAGTATTTATTTTTTGCACTTAAGGTATATGTGTTCTGTGATCATACTGTGTATTTAGAGTGGATTAGCAGTCACAGACAGACAGACACATTACAGGCTAGTTTTGCCCACTCCTATCTCCTTGAGGAATCTGTTCCGGTGTGCTAGATTCTGATTGGCTGCTCTAGTATTTCCGGGTCTGAGGGTGTCGGTAAAGATGGCGGCAGTCAGTGAGCAGTGGCTGGACCGGAAATAGAAAAGGAGAAGCGCCTGGAGCTGGTACTCCAGGGTCTGGCTGTGGATAAGAAGTTGCAGGCGTGTGGCGACCAGCTTCCCCCGGCTCTCTTCACCCTCTCCCTCAATTAACTGGAGGTGAGCTGGTGCTCAGAGCTGCGAGAGCTGTCAGACGGCCTGGGCCTCCTCTCCCACATGCAGAACCTGGTGCTGTGCCGCAATAGGCTGCAGAGCATTCCCCAGGCTGTTGGCAAGCTGAAGGCCCTCCGGGTGTTGCATCTTTCCGGGAACGAGCTGAAGGAACTGCTGGCAGAGTTCACTCGGCTGTCTGACCTCTGCACCCTGAATGTAAGCTGTAACCGGCTGTGGGGTATTGTGCTGGCTACTAACTGGGCATTGTGCCCTCTCAAAACAGGGAAGGGGGGGTGTAATATTTGGTCAATATGACCCTTTTTTGCTCGAAATGGGATAGGCCCATTTTCGGCCGAGAATTTCGGCAACCGAAATTTCGATGCATCCCTAATTTTTACTTACCTGTGCTGTACTATGGACAGGGCCGCCATCAGGGGGTGACAACCATGATGGTTGTCACGGGCATGGCGGTCCTGGGGGGCCCAAACTGCTCTGGCAGTCCCAGGCCCCACTTTCCCTCTCTGCACACATAGATAGCGAATATCGCTATCTATGTGTGCAGCCGCGGGCTCCCGGCTCCCTGTTACTGCAGAGGGGGCCCAGCACACTGCCTGTTTTCCTCTCTTCTTTCTTCTAATAACTCTCGCAGGACCCGCGGCCTTCTGAGCGTTGCCATGGAAACGCGGCACACAGGCCGCGGGTCTCGCAAGAGTTATTAGAAGAGTTTCTATAAACTTCTATGTTTATAGAAAAAAAGGGGTTAAACCTAGCTGGACCTGGCACCCAGACCACTTCATTAAGCTGAAGTAGTCTGGGTGCCTATAGTGGTCCTTTAAGCAATTTGCAACAACATCTTTTCAGTTCTAAGCCATATAAGACCCAACCGAAAAAAAATGTCAATTAAGTGCCAAAATAGATATTCCATAAAGCCATGGGGTACAGATGTTTTAGGGGAAATACAAAGCATTCCTGTTACGAACAACGGTAGGACCAGAATTGTCTGAGAAATTGATATTATTGATCTATATAAAAAGCTGCAAAAATGCCAAAAACTCAAAAGTAAGCACCTTGATGTGTTTTGGTTTGTTTTTGTGTGTTTTTTCATTATACATGCTTTTCTAACTTGTGCTTTATATTATGTGAAGAGTGTGTCATGTTTGTTTATGTACAAAAAGTGCAGATTTCAATAAATATTGGCACTTTTATAATTTACCTGGTTACTCCCCCAGGTTGTCAATCAAGCAAAAGGACTGTTACTTCCTTCCTTCCCTTCCCTTCCCTTCCCTTCCCTTCCCTTCCCTTTTTTTTTTAAAGCTCAGTTAGGCTAAAAAGAGGCAGCAATTGCTCAGAACACCTGGCTTGCAAATATTTATCATTGAACTGCATTGGGAAGTCTTTAATTGGACAGTCACAGAATGTCTAGGTGGGGGAAGAAGGGAACGGTTAGCACAGGCCTTAGACAACATATCTCAAACTTTTGCAAGCTATTTTTGGTATATCCTCAATAGAAATATGCATAATTAAATGCATTACATTTTCATTACAATTTTCATTGTACATCTTCTAAACAGTGATTTTTATTTCTGCAGTGTAGTGTCCCGTTAACCCTGCAATGTAAAACGTCAGTTACTGTGATTATTTATTTAGTGCCAACATTCAACAGTCCCTGTTGCAGGATTAAAATGACACCGCTGCACCCACACCGCCTCATTGAGATAAAGCGGCCTTGGTTATTTTTAGTGGTCCTTTAAGCATCTCTTATGCTATATTCAGCAAATTTGAGAAGTATCAGTCATTCTTGGGAACAAAGAATATCATGACTAATTGGTGGTGTCTGTATGAGATATATTTTCCTATGGCACCAACTCTATTTACTTTTAAGAATTTGAGTGTTTGAGATAGTCCCAAAGCAGTGCTTTGCAGTGTGTAGCATACATTTCTGGGACTGGAAGAGTTGCAGGGCCCACCCATTGTAAAAATACAGTTAGATTATCTTGACACGGCAGCGTCTGGTCCGTCAATGAATGGATGCTTAACACTGCTCTTGTTGGTACCTGTTTCTGCTCTATTATGGCCAAGATAACTTTGTCCATCCTCTTTTATTCTTCATGCATCAGCAAGCAGCAATGAAGGGTGTCTAAACTCCTGCTGTGGTGGTGAGTGAAGCTTCACAATGTACCGCTTCCTGGCAGATGCTGTCAGAGGTAATTGAGCAGAGAAACAAAGATCTGTGACAGGAAGCATACCTTATCAAGCTTTCAGACCCCCCCCCCCCATTCTATCCCAATGATGAGTTCTCCAGAGTGATCTCTGTGTTCACTGTCTGCTTTTTGTCTTTTGTTCTCTGTTTTCCTCCCATAACCATGAAGTTCACAGTTAAAGGTATATGTGTTGTTCTAGAATCATAAGATATGAGACAGATGCATGCATAGTAAAAAGAGGGTTTTATTCTCTATTTAGTGACTTAAACAATTGAGATGGAATTTCCATCTTGTAAAAATGCTCCAGTCTTTTTCCACCGAAATGTGTTTTGGCTTTAATGTGCTACTGTTTTGTCAGTGTACCAAAAGGTACTGTTTAGGGAATTTGCTCCAGTCAGTGAATCACCCATTAATTATTGTATGTATGTTGTCATGGATAAGACAAACACAAATGTTTTTACAATGTTTCTCAACCTTTTTACAGAAAAGTACCCCTGCAGGCTTAAATAAATATTCTTAAGTATCCCTGCCTCGAGAAAGTAATTTCTGTTGATTTAAATTTGAAATGAGACGTGTAGACATGGATATATTGTTGATCCAGGGTTTGACAAATCCCAGACGACAGGTTGCCATGGCGACCAGGACATGTGTGCTGGTGCCTGGGATTTGTGAGCGTGTTCAACCCCCAAGGTGACCGGCTGCCTGAAAGCAGAGGCTGGCAGTCGGATCACAGAGGGCTGAGGCAGGCAGGCGGCTGACGGCGGGAGGGAGAAGGCCGGCTCATGCATTGTTGAAGGAGGAAGGGGGGCAGCGGGCTCATCGATTGCTGAGGGAGGTGGGCGGGTGGCTAACTTAGTGCTTCAGCGAAGGAGGGAGGTGTAATCTCCCTGCTCTGCTCCCTTGTGCTCCTTGCAGTGATGCCAGGAGCCGTGTTATGATGTTACTCCGACCCCCGGCTCACTAAACAGTGCGCAAGAGGGAGCTGAGTAGGGAGATGACAGCAGCCCCACTGGACCCAAAGTAAAGCCTATCCACTCCAGCTCCAAAGGTAGGGAGGCTGGATGGATTAAAATTAAAAAGTTACTTGTGAGTCATTGTGTCTGTCTGTGAGCGTGTGTGTGTGTGTGTGTGTGTGTGTGTAAAAAATAAATTAAAAAAAAAAAAGTGAGTGTGTGTTCCCTCCAATCACATGGGAAAGATGTTTTTACTCCTCGTTTTTCCCACGCCGTGCTGGTGATGCCGTGGTTGGGCCACCTCCATGGCTGTGATAATCAATGTTACCCATAGGAAAAGCATTGGGAGACTATTGCGCATGCACGGCAAAATGCCACTGCACCAATTTAACGTCTCATAGAGCTGCAATAAATCAACGTATCCCTATAGGGAACAATGACAAAGGTGCTGCACAGTGTGAAGCATTGACCCAGAAAGCACCTCTAGAGGCTGTCTGAGTTACTGTCGCTAGAGGTGTCACCAGACAGCAATGTAAAGAATGCCTTTTATCTGAAAAGTCAGTGTTTACATTGAAAAGCGTTCAGGAACAGGATATAGACTTCAGAACAACTAAATTAAGCTGTAGTGGTTCTGGAATTTGGAATTTTCCCGTGCTGTGTAATTTGACTCATAACAATGTGATTGGTTGCTTTCACTCAACCAATCAGAGTGTTGCTATGAGTCAAATTACATAGCATGGGAAAATTCCAAAGCACTTTCTCACGCTATGTAAAATGACTCAGAGCACTCTGGTTGGTTGGATTTCAAGCCAACCAATCAGAATACTGTGACAGGTAAATGTAGAGACTTACCTGTCAGTCTTTTAACATAGAATGTGACGGCAGATAAGAACCATTCAGAGCACTCTGGTTGGCTTGGAATCAACCAATCAGAGTGCTCTAAGTCTAATTGCAGGGCGTGGGAAGACTTTATAAGCCTTTCCCGCCCTGCGCAGCTTAGTCTGCGCCGTGCCCTCCATGGGTGATGATAGATTATTTTTTTAGCGTCGGGTTTTTAATTTTATTTTCAAAGTTCGAGTATTATGGATTTTTATTTGGCCTTTTTTGGGGCTGAAAAAAAGACATCAAATGGTAAGTTATTTTTTATTTACAGGGATTTAGTTTTATTGTTCCCCCCTCACTATTTTTAGGGTGAGGTGGGTAGGTAGGTCTTTATTAATTTTTTCTTGGGTGGGGGGGTGAATAGGGGCTCTGGGGTGGGGGCCGGGGGGAGGACAATAGGGCCCCCTTATTGTTATTTAGGGGCTCTGCAGTGGGGGCCTGAGGGGAGGACAATAGGTCCTCCCCACATTTTCATTTAGGGCCCCCTCCAGCCAGTCAGGGCTCCCCCTAGCAGTTTCTATCTTTACATGATGATTGTGTTCTTCAGGATGCCCAGTTGCTAAAATGTTACTATGTTCCTTATAATAGCACTCAATTTTGTGGCTGAGGTTGCTGTCAAGTAAAAAATTAAATACTAGATTGCAACTGGATGAGTGTTTAATACAGCTCTATGTACTCCTAGTTTAAGTGTAAGCCACTAGTGGTTCTTATTTCACTTATCTCGTGTTTGACACAATGAATGTTTTGTTTTCTTCTTTATATTAAAGTGAACTAATAAAGTTTGTCTTTTTACCTCCAAGAAACTGTTTTAAACCTTGATGGTAATGTGTTGAGATTTCTTTTCTCATTTGTTTGTAGTTACATAATTAGGGTTATCCCCATTTTGATTACTAGTTAAACCTTTAGGCTTCTGTATATATTTTTTTTTGTACCCAATTGCCCTTTTTTTGTATGTACTTTGAAGTAGGTGCCATATTTAGCAGAAAAAAATTATTTTAAACAAAACACTTTTGATGTAATAATAATGTAATTTTTCTTTAATCTCTTTACGTCTCTCTAGCATATCTGTTATACTGAATATAGTTTACTTTGGCAATTTATTATATTTTAGTTTGTTGTTTGTGAGCACTGACCCAGAAAATCTGTGTTTACATTAGAATTCCTGCAGGTACAGGCTATAGACACCATAACAGCTACATTAAGCTAGAGTTGTTCTGATGACTATAGTGTCCCTTTTAAGGCAAGTTATATAAAAAGATAGAGGGGATCATTAATTATTTCACTATGTTTCTTCACTTTGCAGATAACTGTTGATTTGCACCTCAACTTGTACCATATAGCCCAAAGAACAAACCCCAAATTTTTCAACTCAACTCAACTGTATTTTACTTTTTATTCCATTGCTCCTGCTCTAATAAAGACACACTGCGGATAAAATAATTGAATTTTTATTTTTCTTTCTTTCCTGGGAATAGATTTCACTAGTACGTGGTACTGCAAAATTATGTATGTGTATACATGTATAATATTACAGACACAGCACGCCACTTTTCCTGCAAAATACTCTCTGTTGTCGTCTTTGACGGTAAATGCAAACCATATTTTAAACCTTCTAAAGCAAAGATGCAGTAGAAAGACTGTTGTTACAACAGCCTTGAATGAGGATTTGAGCACTTCTATGGGTGTGGCTAAATTAGCCACTAATTCTTGCACTCCACTTTCCCATGTGTACTTTTTTGTGTACCTCTCATACAGCACCTGTATACATGGTGTTTTTCAGCACCCTATCTTTATATATGCAACATGCTCTTGTACTGAGTACATTTCTAATATCCGCACAAAGAATCAACATGATAAAAATAAAAATAAAAAAAATCAATTAAAAAATCAATTAAAGGACCACTATAGTGCCAGGAAAACATACTCGTTTTCCTGGCACTATAGTGCCCTGAGGGTGCCCCCACCCTCAGGGACCCCCTCCCGCCCGGGATGGCTTAACCCATTGATAAACATAGCAGTTTCTCTGAAACTGCTATGTTTATTAAAAAATGGGTTAACCCTAGCTGGACCAGGCACCCAGACCACTTCATTAAGCTGAAGTGGTCTGGGTGCCTAGAGTGGTCCTTTAATTTAACAATAATAAATCAAAACATGAACTATATTAGAAGTTCATTATTTATTTCATAATTAAATGACTGTGATCATCTTTGCATGCATTCAGTGGACAAAGAGAAATAAGACAACATTGCTCTCTCTCTCTCTTTAATAAATAATGAGGCAATTAGACTTTGAGCAGTCACGAATACCTGAGTATTAAACCTCTTCTTGATGCTATGAAGAAGAGTCTAATCCCAACATTGATCTCATCATCTTGATATTAAGCCATTGCATGAGGATATAACACACGTGGGATATGAAATAGTTTACTATAAAAATGATATTTAACCTTGACACCCTAGATATTTGTGGACCACGTTTGCTCAGCCAGCATTAAGCCTTCACAGGAGAAGTGTCTGACAAAATATCTGGCACTAGAGGTATTGTGACAAATAATTGCTGCTTAGGTACAGCAACAGGCTGAGGTCTCTAGGTGGCAGCAAAGTGCCCACTATTGTCCTATTTGTTGATGGTATAATGACAGTGCTGCAGTCTCTCAGTGCAATGCTGTTATTACTGACTCTCAACAGGAAAAGCCTTATTGATGGTTTCAGACTGTTCATAAACTGTAAGATACTGTTTGTCACTGAAAATCATTTGTTTCCTGGACATTAATAGCAATGCACAGAGCAAGCTGGTTAACTTTTAAAGAGAAATTGGGGGAGATTCTAAAAAGTGCCCCCTTTTTTTCTTCTTCTTTTTTTTAACTCTAATCTGTTTGTATTTATTAACGTGTTTTAAAGGGTCTAAAAAGTTTCAGCTTTTAACTTTCAGCTTTTCTCTGCCCATATTCTGCCATTTTTGCACAATATGGTCAATTACAGTAAAGACATCCAAGTTTAGAGAGGTGAAAAAAAAAAAAGTGAAACAGAACACTTTTCTGGCATTAAGGGTGACGGAATGATTGATAAATCTGATGTGTTGCTAAAAAAAAAAAGACCTACAATAAAAAAATGACAGGGTGGAAAAGAAGCAACAGTGGTAAAAAACAAACAAAAAAAAAACACCATTAGATCTAGAAGTTTGCTCTGAACAAATGCACAAAAAAGGAGCAAAACTGTCTACAGTACTTAAAGGATCACTATAGTGTCAGGAAAACAAAGTGGTTTTCCTGACACTATAGTGCCCTGAGGGTGGGTAAAAACCCCTTCAGCAGCTTACCTTATTCCAGCTCCGGGCTCCCTCGACGCTGGTGACCTCTCCCCCCCCCGCCGACGTCAGTGGAGCCGAATGCGAATTCAAGCTGTCAATAGGAAATCATTTTTCAATGCTTTCCTATGGACGCTCTGCGTGATGGAGGCATAATATGCCTCCAGCGTCGCAGATGCGCATCTAGTGGATGTCCGCAAGACAGCCACTAGAGGCTGGATTAACCCTGCAATGTAAACATAGCAGTTTCTCTGAAACTGCTATGTTTGCATCTGCAGGGTTAAAACCTGAGGGACCTGGCATCCAGACCACTTCATTGAGCTGAAGAGGTCTGGGTGACTATAGTGTCCCTTTAAATAAACCCCATAGTAACAGTTGTCACCAAGTTGAACACCAAGATGGCTCCCTCTTATAACTTTATATATTGTATGTCATTACGCAAAAGGTCATTTGCCAAGCTATACAGCTCCCATGCAGCTTATAATAACTTGGAAAGTAGCTTCATTAATTCATGACATCTAATTAAATCTAGTGATTTCTAACAATTTGTTCTATATTTTCGGCATGATGCGGAAGACTATTACGATTGAATAGCATAAATTACTGCCTTGTTTTCTGTTAGGCACTTTCTATAGTAACCGCAGACCTTTTCTCAAAGTGTCTTGGAAAATAATTAGATGTGAAACTTCACATCTTAGCTTTTGGGTTGATAAATAATCCAACTACAAACTTGCAATGGATTCTGCTTTCTTTTCCCATTTTTCTTTTTCATTCATGTTTTCCTTTCTTTCTATGATTTTTCTTTTCTTTTTGGGTAAATGTCTTGTATAGCGCCGTCAAAGCTCAGTCTGGCTTACTCCATGAGCACTTCATGATGAGCTTAAGTATCTAGAACTCCTTCTGATGTATGTGTGTTTTAAAGGGACACTATAGTCACCAGAACATCTACAGCTTATTGTGTTTGTTCTAGCGAGTAAAATCATTCCCTTCAGGCTTTTTGCAGTAAACCTTCTTTTCAGAGAAAATGCAGTGTTTACATTACAGCCTAGTGATAACTCCGCTGGCCACTCCTCAGATGGCTGCTAGAGCTGCTTCCTATCCCAGTCTTGCCTTGTATTATTATTTATTATTATTATTATTATTGCCATTTATGTAGCGCTTTACAATATTTTGAGAGGGGGGATGTAACAATAAATAGGACTATTACAAGAAAACTTACAGGAACAATAGGTTGAAGAGGACCCTGCTCAAACAAGCTTACAGACTATAGGAGGTGGGTATTCGAAACATTAGGACAGGAAATATCAAGTAGGAGTGAAGCAGAGCTGGAGGAGAGAGCAAAGCACTGTCCCATAGGAGAGAGCAGGAGACAGGTATGTGAGGTAGAGATTACTCTGGGAGGCCATAAGCTTTCCTGAAGAGATGGGTTTTAAGGCCCTTCTTAAATGATTGAAGACTAGGGGAGAGTCTGATGGCAGTAGGCATAGGAGAGGAGCCACCCACGAGAGGTCCTGCAAGCGCGAGTTGGCCATACGGGTGCGAGCAGCGGTCAGGAGGTGGTCACGGGCAGAGCGGAGGGTACGAGGAGGGACATATCTATGGATTAGTGAAGATATATAAGAGGGGCTAGAATTGTTCAGTGCTTTAAATGTATGGGTTAGCACTTTGAATTGACTCATATAGCATACAGGGAGCCAATGTAAGGACTGGCAGAGGGGTGAGGTGTGAGAGAACCAACTAGAGAGGAAAATCAGTCTAGCTGCAGCATTCATTACAGACTGTAGCGGGGCAATACGGCTTTTGGGAAGACCAATCAGGAGAGGGTTACAATAATCCATGCGGGAAATTACTAGAGCATGGACAAGCTCCTTGGTAGCATCTTGTGTAAGAAAGGGGCGGATGCGGGCTATGTTTTTGAGTTGGAACCTACAGGACTTGGCAACAAACTGGATGTGAGACTCAAAGGTGAGACCAGAGTCAAGTATGAAGCCAAGACAGCGCGCTTGCAGGGATGGACTTATGTGGATATCACTGACTTGAAGGGAGAGCGAGAGAGGAGGCTCAGTATTAGGAGGAGGAAAGACAAGGAGTTCAGTTTTAGAGAGGTTAAGTTTCAGAAAGCGTGAGGACATCCAGTCAGAGATGGAAGAAAGGCAAGCATGTATGCATCACAACATATCAGTATCTCCTCCCTCTGCATATAGACACTGAACTTTCCTCAGAGATTCATTGATTCAATTCATCTCTACGAGGAGATGCTGATTGGCCAGAGCTGTGTTTGACTTGTGCTGGCTCTGCCCCGATCTGCCTCCTTCACAGTCTCAGCCAATCCTATGGGAATGCATTGTGATTGGCTCAGAACAACACTTCTGATGTCAGCAGACAGCTTGCTATTCTGAGGCAGATAGGGGGCGAGCCAGCAGCTTCATTCTTGAATACAAGTAAGATTTTACTATATTTAGGGAGGCAAGAGAGGGCCAGGAGGCTAGATGGTGGTTTTAACACTATAGGGTCAGGAATACATGTTTGTGTTCCTGACCCTATAGTGATCCTTTTAAACTTACTTCTCCTCACTGCACTAAAGAAGGAGTGGTGTGAGGGAAAAAAAAAGACAAAAAACTAATTAAGACACAGTGTCCCCATGCCAGTATCCCTGGTGTCTGTGTCCCCATGTCTTCCAGTATCTTGGTGCCCCTAGTGTCTCAGTGTCCCCATGTCTCCCAGTATCCCCATGTCTCTCTGTGTCTTGGTGCCCCTAGTGTCTGTGTTCCCTTGTCTCCTAGTGTCCACATGTCTCTCTGTGTCCCCTAGTGACATGGGGACACTGAGAAATATGGGGCACTGAGACACTGTGATACATAGTGACACTGTGATACATAGTCTCAGTGTCCCCCAGTATTCTCAGTTGTCTGTGTCCCCATGTCTCACAGTGTCCACTAGTGACATGGGGACACACACATGGGGACACACACACGGGGACACTGGGAGACATGGGGACACTGAGACATGGGGAAACAGACACATGGGGACACTGGGAGACATGTGGACACTAAGTCACTATGGACACAGTGTCCCCATGTCTCCCTGCCAGTATCCCTGGTGTCTGTGTCCCCATGTCTCCCAGTGTCCCCATGTCTCTCTGTGTCCCCTAGTGACATGGGGACACTGAGAAATATGGGGACACAGAGATATGGGGCACTAAGACACTGGGATACATAGTGACACTGTGATACATAGTCTCAGGGTCCCCCAGTATCCTCAGGTGTCTGTGTCCTCATGTCTCACAGTGTCCCCTAGTGACACGGGGACACTGGGAGACATGGGGACACAGACACTAGGGGACACTGGGAGACAGGGAGACACTGGGAGCAATCCATCTATACCGCAGAATCAAACTGTAAGTAGTTTTTTGGTGATTTTACAGAATTTTCTCTTATGTCACTCCTTGTGATTTACATAATCTGATGTCACACATACATAATTAGTTATTCAAATTAATAAGGTATTTTTTTCCAAGAAAGGTGGCAACCCTAACTACTCTTCACATACTCTTGCTTAAGTATGGAAACTTAAAAGGGATATATGGAAACAAAACTTGTGTGGACTAGCTGAAATTAAATTAGTTAAGGCAATGCTGACTTTGGTCTCTCTCTAACACTGTGGCATGTTCCCTTTCTTCTACACTCACTACATCCACCTTTTCTCTGTCTCAGACTGTATACCAGGAGCTTCTGCCTGCTAGTAAGAAGGAAAGGAGACAAGTGGACATGTGAGTGCTAGGGGACACTTGTGCCAACAGCATCATTAGATGCATTTATGCCAAGCTGAGGATGCTGTTGGCCAGCATGCATGATTGGCAGGCAGCCTGACATGCATTCATGCCATGCTAGCCTTCCAATTCTTTGGGCACACACGCCTCCTTTTTGGGCATGTTCGTCCCTTTCAGGAGTTCTGGTTACATGATCTGCGTCAGTGGACCACCCTTTTACACTGCACATTGACTTCCTGCTTAACTGGACACTGCTGTTAGGGGGTATGGATTTACTTGAAAGATGAAAGCATGAATTAGAGAGCGATTAGCATAGTTTAAGAGAATCTGAGTTTTCTTATAACTGGTCCTATGAGTTTCCCTCCGGCAACATCTCCACCAGATACATAACGCTTGAGAGGTATGACTGTTTGTGTTTTTGGTCTCTAAGATTCTGTACTTAGGCCCCTCATAATTGTCAGCACTAGGCCCACTGGGTTCTTAATCTGGCCCTGCCTGGAGTGTCCCTTTAAACGATGCTGGGCGTCCTCTCGCTATGCATGAGGCCCTCCAGCGTCGCCAGAATCTCCATAGGAAAGCATTGAATAATGCTTTCCTATGGGGAGGTCTAACATGCGTGCGTGCGGCCATTGCATGCGCATTAGGCCTCCCCCGCCGGCTGACGTCGGTGGGGGAGGAGCGTGGACAGAGCCTGACCGAGTGCCGAGGGACATCAGCGCTAGATTCAGTAAGTCACTAGATGTTTTTAACCCCTTCAGCAACATGGGATGGGGGGTGGGAGTGAGAGGGGCACTGCAGCGTCCTGCAGTGCCTGGAAAACGGAGAGTCCCTTTAACTCCTAATTGGCAGAGAATTGTGCAATGAGACTGCAGGGGCATGATCCATACACCAAAACTGCTTCATTAAGCTAAAGTTGTTTTCATGCCTGACACACTGACATGTAAGCCGTTTTAAACAGTAATTATGGGATAGAACAAGCCTCCACCTATTTTTTAGAGAATACATTAAAGATATGAATTTGACACACACACACAGTTACACTCTGATGCACATGCAGAAACATAGCCACACTAATACAACACTTACACATATGGAGATACAGATACACAGATGAAAACACTGACACAAATGCAAATACACACATGTTGAAACAGTGATACACATAGTTTCCCAGATACACATATAGGAAACTGACACAGATACAGATACACACACTGACACATACAGATTTACAGACACACAGATATAAACACTGCCACACATGCAGACACACAGACATGCACACACAGATACAGACACACTGATAGACTGACACACATGCAGATACACAGGAACAGTTATACAAATACTGGCACACATGCAGATAGACTTACAGATACAAACAATGACGCACATAGAACAATTGCACAGACACTGTACATCTGTATGTGTCAGTGTGTGTATCATTGTGTCTGTGCAATTGTTCTATGTGCGTCATTGTTTGTATCTTTGTGTCTGTACATCTGCATGTGTGGCAGTGTTTGTACATATGTATGTGTGTCAGTGTATGTATCAGACACACAGGTACAAACACTGCCACACATTCAGTGTGTGTATCAGACACACAAGTACAAACACTGCCACACATTCAGATGTACAGACATAGAGATACGAACACTGAAAGAGATACACTGACACACTTGCAGATACACAAACACAATGGTACAAACACTGCCACACATGTACAGACGCAAGCACAGATACACCTAGATACACAAACACACAGATCCCAACACTGACATGCATATACACAGACATACAGAAGCAAACACTGGCACACACATCTAGATACAGAGATACACACATGCAGATACACAGACACAGATACGAACACTGCAACACATGCAGTTGTACAGACACACTTCTCTTTGGTGTATCTCTGCTATACGTTAGGAGTGTAGACACAATAGTAAAAAAAAAAACACATTTATGAACTCTTCTTTTTAGGCATATTATGAATAAATGTGCATACAGTAGAGGAATATGCTGAATATTTTTAGCTTGTAACCCAGCTTTATAGAGAAGAATGGTCTGGGGAAATAATTCTTGCCTTTGGAATCCAGTCATTGAATAGTGGCATGTCTCTCTTTTGTTTATGAGCACAGATTACTATAGTTGCCCTTGTGACCTCCTTGTAGACCTCCCTATTCAGTAGTAAGTCATTAGCAGAGCTGGCCTCTTTTCTCTAGATTTTCTAAATAAAAATGACTCGCTATACAGAGGGATGCTGTGTTTCACAAATCTACAGGCAGAATAAGAAGCTGTCACAAAACATTGAAAATAATACAATATTATTAGTATTTAGACATGGAAAGTGTAACTCGAATCTCCTAGACAAGCAAGATGGCTCTTAATTAGTACAATATAAATGTTGAATGCTTATGAGAGTAATTCCAGTTTTATTAGATTAATTTTATGAACACAATTATGATGCTACTGCTTGATATGCATGCATGTTGTTTTTTAAAAATGCATTACTTGGTTTAGCTATTATTCTTTTATTAGTGTATTTATAAAAAATTTGGGATGCTGTAATGTGGAGACTCTGAAGCCTGCAAAGGTTTAAATGGGTAACACAAACGGTAGATAGAAGGTCTAATTTTTTTTGCATGTATCAAGAAAAACATGTAAAGAAAAACTTACAAAGTAGAAGAATATAATACAAAAAAAGTTTATATATGGGGGCAGAGCCTTACTGCCATGCTGAAAGGCTGCATGAGACAGCAGCTCCAACAATCTTTCTTTTTTTTGTAAATATATATTTTTTTTATTTGCATGTTTCGTGCACACATAGAGAAAGGCAAAACATTGAGACTCGCAGGTCTCCGTTATTATCATGCAGTGTGCGTATAGAGAAAATGACGACACATTAAGACTCGCAGGTCTCCTGTAATTTAACCATGAATATTAAACTGTAAAAAATGACAAACATGTTAACTGGTCCATTTCTGTGTCATGCTCTTCAACATTTACACTCATTCTAATATAGTTTTATACAGTTGCATGTTCTATTGGGCTCGTAGGCCCGCGATTACGTCAGTCCCACAGGTCCCTTGTGGGTATTGCGTGTGTATGTCTCCGTTACTTGTGCCTGTCTGTGAGAATGTCGCGTGACAGCCCGGGTCCTATGGTCTACCTCTCTCATCCCCTCCCCTCTTTGGGGTGCCCTGTTTAGTTGAGGCGGTCTCCTCGTCTATGTGTCAGGGCCTCCCTTGTCATTTTTGGTGTTTTTCGGGCCTTCTAGTGTTGGTTAGCCCTTGGTGCCAGAGGTAGACCCGCACCTGTGTGGCTGTCTTCCCCGCTCCTCTCTGGGTTTGTGGCCTCCTGTAGCTAACTGTGTGGTGGTAGTTATGTCATGTTGGTAAATTCGGGATCTGTTGTCTTCAGGATCCAATGTGTCCAAGTGTTGAGGTACACTTGGAATGTATCGTGAGCTTTGTGGTGAAGTTCCTCTAGGGATCTCAATTCTTCCATTTGTGTAAACCAAACTCTCAAAGGGGGGATGACCTGTTTTTTCCAATACTGTGGTATGATCAATTTGGCCGTGTTCAGTATGCGAATTGTGAGTGATCTCTTATACGCCGTTCGTGGGGTTTTAGTGTGGTGTAAGAGCATGACTGCTGGGTTGAATGGGACTGGGTCGTCTGTAAACTTTGCCAATACAGGGAGTGCAGAATTATTAGGCAAGTTGTATTTTTGAGGATTAATTTTATTATTGAACAACAACCATGTTCTCAATGAACCCAAAAAACTCATTAATATCAAAGCTGAATATTTTTGGAAGTAGTTTTTAGTTTGTTTTTAGTTATAGCTATGTTAGGGGGATATCTGTGTGTGCAGGTGACTATTACTGTGCATAATTATTAGGCAACTTAACAAAAAACAAATATATACCCATTTCAATTATTTATTATTACCAGTGAAACCAATATAACATCTCAACATTCACAAATATACATTTCTGACATTCAAAAACAAAACAAAAACAAATCAGTGACCAATATAGCCACCTTTCTTTGCAAGGACACTCAAAAGCCTGCCATCCATGGATTCTGTCAGTGTTTTGATCTGTTCACCATCAACATTGCGTGCAGCAGCAACCACAGCCTCCCAGACACTGTTCAGAGAGGTGTACTGTTTTCCCTCCTTGTAAATCTCACATTTGATGATGGACCACAGGTTCTCAATGGGGTTCAGATCAGGTGAACAAGGAGGCCATGTCATTAGATTTTCTTCTTTTATACCCTTTCTTGCCAGCCACGCTGTGGAGTACTTGGACGCGTGTGATGGAGCATTGTCCTGCATGAAAATCATGTTTTTCTTGAAGGATGCAGACTTCTTCCTGTACCACTGCTTGAAGAAGGTGTCTTCCAGGAACTGGCAGTAGGACTGGGAGTTGAGCTTGACTCCATCCTCAACCCGAAAAGGCCCCACAAGCTCATCTTTGATGATACCAGCCCAAACCAGTACTCCACCTCCACCTTGCTGGCGTCTGAGTCGGACTGGAGCTCTCTGCCCTTTACCAATCCAGCCACGGGCCCATCCATCTGGCCCATCAAGACTCACTCTCATTTCATCAGTCCATAAAACCTTAGAAAAATCAGTCTTGAGATATTTCTTGGCCCAGTCTTGACGTTTCAGCTTGTGTGTCTTGTTCAGTGGTGGTCGTCTTTCAGCCTTTCTTACCTTGGCCATGTCTCTGAGTATTGCACACCTTGTGCTTTTGGGCACTCCAGTGATGTTGCAGCTCTGAAATATGGCCAAACTGGTGGCAAGTGGCATCGTGGCAGCTGCACGCTTGACTTTTCTCAGTTCATGGGCAGTTATTTTGCGCCTTGGTTTTTCCACACGCTTCTTGCGACCCTGTTGACTATTTTGAATGAAACGCTTGATTGTTCGATGATCACGCTTCAGAAGCTTTGCAATTTTAAGAGTGCTGCATCCCTCTGCAAGATATCTCACTATTTTTGACTTTTCTGAGCCTGTCAAGTCCTTCTTTTGACCCATTTTGCCAAAGGAAAGGAAGTTGCCTAATAATTATGCACACCTGATATAGGGTGTTGATGTCATTAGACCACACCCCTTCTCATTACAGAGATGCACATCACCTAATATGCTTAATTGGTAGTAGGCTTTCGAGCCTATACAGCTTGGAGTAAGACAACATGCATAAAGAGGATGATGTGGTCAAAATACTCATTTGCCTAATAATTCTGCACTCCCTGTATTTTGTGAATCTCTGACCAGAATGGGGCTATCTGTTTGCACTCCCACCAAATGTGTAAGAGTGTGCCTCTGTCCTCCCCGCATCTCCAACACTGTGGGGGGTGGGATGGGATTCGGGCATGTAGTGACTCAGGAATGTGGTACCAGTGTGTCAGTAGTTTATATGCCGTTTCCTGTGTCCTGCTGTAGCTAGAGCAGTGATGCGTTAGGTAGCAGATTTTCTCCCATTCCACCTTGTCAAAGGTCTGGCCCAGTGCCGACTCCCACTTCCCCATGAACCTTGGTTGGGCAATTGGTGTTAGTGTTATTAGTAGGGTGTATAGTGCCGATACCCCGTGTGCTAGTGGATTGGGTTCCAAGCATAGATTCTCGAAAGGAGTGGTGGCCCTATGTAGTGCCGGTCCCTGCGGGAGGGATGTAATGTAACTGCGGATCTGTTTGTATTTAAGGTGCATCAGGAAAGTGTGTTCTTCGTTCCCCCTTAGGTCCTTGAGTGTCTTTATTCTGTCAGTGGTTTGTATGTGTCTGAGTCTGGGTAGTGGGTCCTGTATTAGGTCTTTGAACGCGTTCGGGTCCATCCCCGGCATGAACTCAGGGTTGTGTGTCAGGGGTATTAATGGTGTCGGGTATGATGTTAGGCCGTGTCTCCCTTTGGAGCGGTGCCATTCCCTCAAGGTTGCTCTCGTGTAGGGGGACGGAGTCTCTTCCCCCGTCTGGGCCCCGGGTTGCAGCCACGGTAGGACTTCAACCGGGACGCCCGCCTCGTGTTCCTCTACCTGCTTCCACTGTTTTTGTGTTCCCGTTTTGGTCCATTCCATGATTCTCATGAGATGGCATGCCCTATAGTATAGGTTGAAGTCTGGCAATGCCAGTCCCCCCCTGTCTTTTGGTTGTGTGAGTAGTGTGTGGCGCAGCCTGGGCTGTTTCCCGTTCCAGACATATTTGATGAGGGCTGAGCGTAATGTGGTGAAGTACGCTCTGGGGACAGTTATGGGTATGGTTTGGAATAAGTAGAGAAGGCGCGGTAGGAAGTTCATCTTCACTACTTGTATCCTGCCTAACCAGGAAATATGTGGGTATGCCCACTCCTGCATCTCCAAGCGCATCTTCTCATGCATTACTGTGAAGTTTTCTTTATAAAGATCCCCTTCTCGTTTTGTTAGCCAGATGCCTAGATATTTAATTTTATGTGTTGCCCATTGGAAGGAGTAGTGTTGGCGTAGGGGTTCCGCCCTGCGTTCTGGGATGTTAATGTTAAGTATAAATGATTTGGAGAGTCTACCGAAGTCCTGGAATGCCTTCAGTATATTGGGGAGAGAGATTTCTGGGTTGGTTACGTAGAACAACAAGTCATCAGCATATGCTGCTGTTTTGTGGTGTGTCGTCCCCGTCTGCAACCCCGTGATGTCCGGGTTGTTCCTAATGGCCACCAGCAGGGGCTCCAGAGCTAGGACGAAGAGGATCGGGGACAACAATCTTTCAACTTTTCAAATATATTCCTGTGAGTGCAATTTAGCCACCAGCGCTAGATTTGATTTTAAAATACTACAGTAGAAGAAAACACTGACATTTTAGCCTTTTCGATGTTGAAAAACTGAAATGGGCAAGCCCTATATTTGACGCTGTAACTTTCCAAAAGTCAATGAAACCTGTACATGTGGGGCATCATTGTATCAGTGGGACATCACGGCATGCAAATATGTGTATTTTATTACAGTAAAAGCTAACAGTATTACAACATTCACAGTTAAAAGGACACTATAGTCACCAGAACATCTACAGCTTGCTGTGTTTGTTCTGGTGAGTAAAATAATTCCCTTTAGGCTTTTTGCAGTAAACACTGTCTTTTCAGAGAATATACAGTGTTTACATTAAAGCCTAGGGAAACTTCCACTGGCCACTCCTCAGATGGCTACTAGAGCTGCTTCCTGGCACACTGACATTCAGTGTCTCCACCCTCTGCATGGAAACACTAAACTTTCCTCAGAGATTTATTGATTCCGTTTATCTCTATGAGGAGATGCTGATTGGCCAGAGCTGTGTTTGGCTTGTGCTGCCTCTGCCCATGATCTGCCTCCTTAACAGGCTTAGCCAATCCTATGGGGAAGCATTGTGATTGGCTTTTGATCAACACTTCTAATGATAGCAGGCAGCTCAGGGCCAAAGCCAGCAGCAGAAGACTGGAATAAATGTAAGATTTTGCTATATTTAGAGGGGCAAGGAGGGAATAGATGGTGGTTTTAACACCATAGGGTCAGGAATACATGTTTGTGTTCCTGACTCTCTAGTGTTCCTTTATGCCATGCAGACCTTGGAAAATAACAAAATATCTTAATATCCCACACTTTTTAGATTTTATCTAAAATAAATTATGTTTCATATATAAATATTTATTGTGAAATAAAAGCCCTATTTCTCCTGAACAAAATAATAATATATGATTTGTGTGGGTGCACTTAATATGAACTCTGTAAATCATGGTTGAACAGATATATAGCAAAATTTTTAGGTTTTGTTTTGCTTCAGAACTTGTTCAATTGCCTTAGTCCTTAAGGGTTTAAATGATTGTGACTTTTTTATTTTTTATTATTTATTGATATTCATAGTGAAGTTTTTGATCATTCCTGAGTAGTGATGTCCCGAACGGTTCGCCGCAGACTCATCATTGAGTAAACTTTGACCTTGTACCTCACAGTCAGCAGACACATTCCAGCCAATCAGCAGCAGACCCTCCCTCCCAGATCCTCCCACCTCTGGACAGCATCCATTTTACATTCATTGTGAAGCTGCATTCTTAGTGAGCTGTCCAGGAAGTGGGAGGGTCTGCTGCTGATTGGCTGGAATGTGTCTGCTGACTGTGAGGTACAGGGTCAAAGTTTACTCAATGATGAGTCCGCGGCGAACCGTTCGGGACATCACTATTCCTGAGTATTATAGATGGCCCATGAACACTTTACAAAGGCGTACCTAAAAGTAGGAATCGACCGATTATCCTTCTGGCCGATATTCTGTATTTTCGGCAATATCGGTATCTGCCTATAGAAAATCCGATATTGCCGATAATACATACCAGGACCACCGGGCCCATGACAAGCCCGGCAGTCCTGGGGTGCCCAACAAGTGCTTACTTGCCTTCCCACCAGCTTCCTTCAACTCCCCTGTCTAAATCTCGTGAGTCCCACGGCTGGCAGAGCGCTGCCACGGGTTACCATGGCAACGCTCCGCGGGGCACGCTGGCCACAAGAGTTAGACAGGGGAGCTGAAGGGAGCTGCTGGGAAGGTAAGTAAGCGCTTGGTGGGCCCCCTCAGGGAATGCCATATCTCCCCTCCCTGGCAAGTAAGAAGCAAGGAGGGGGGACAAAAAAAAAAAAAAAATTACATTAAAAATTCCTCCCCTCTCCCCCCCATTTTACACAAATTACATACCTACAGAAACACACACACACACTACACAAATACACTGCATTCACTATACACACACTACACAAACACACACACACTACATTCATTATATACACACACACTACACAAACACACTGCATTCACTATACACATACTACACAAACACACACACACTCTGCATTTGTTATATACACACACTACACAAACACACACTACACAAATACACTGCATTCACTATACACACACTACACACACACACACCCTGCATTCATTATATATACACACACTGCATTCACTATAAACACACTACCCACACACACACCCTGCATTTATTATATACACATACTGCATTCAATCTACACACACTACACAAACACACACTCTGCATGCATTATATACACACACACTGCATTCACTATACACACGCTACACACACTGCATTCAATTTACGCACGCTACACACACTGCATTCAATTTACGCACACACTACACACACTGCATTCACTTTACGCACAATACACACACTGCATTCACTTTACGCACACTACACACACACACTGCATTCACTATACGCACACACACCACACACTACATTCACTATACACACACTACACTAACACACACACACTGCATTTACTAGATATACACACTACACAAACTCTCACTGCATTCACTATACACACTACACACACACTCTGAATTCATTATATACACACTACACAAACACACACAGCCCCCTGTCTAAACACACTGCATCCACTTCATGTGGAATGTATATTTTGTGTATCTACCTTTAGAAATATTTTTTTTTTTTTCAAAATGGTAAATGTACAGAATATCGTTACGTTATCGGCTATCTGCCAGAAAATTCACAGATTATCGGTATCGGCTCTAAAAAATCAATATTGGTTGATCCCTACCTAAAAGTAGAGTACTTAAAATCGGTAGTAGCAAGTGAGAAAGATACAGTGGTATTGAGTAAGATACAGAGGTGTATCTAGGTTAGTTGGTACCTCTCTCTCCATTCCTATATTGTACTTTTATTTTGATTTTGATGTCTGTTCTCCTCCATTGTGTTTTTCTTATTCCCCTTTTAATTTCAAATTTTTTGTTTTTTTTGTGGCAAATGGTGGCAGTACCTGGGGGTTGTGCCTCCTTAATTAGGACAAGCATCTACAATATAGGAGTTAATTAAAAGTCCCTCCCCTTTATCCCATAAAGGGCTTCCCCCGGCAAACCCACCCAAGTTCTTCCTTGGCCCAAGTTGATCAAGCTTCAACTTGAGGTGAGGCACACTGGTTGATGTCTGGGGGAGGAAGCCCGATAGCCACCTGGGTGGTAGGCTGAGCGGCATGACTCTGTCCATGGAGGTCCCGGAGCCCTTTCAGGTATTTATGTTGCACCAAGTATGTTCCTGCTTTGTGAATAGGGGTAGGCCAGGGGACACCTTCATGAAGTTACAGGCGGTGGAACACACGCCCGGTGGTGTTGTGTTCCACTGAAGTTCCGGGTATGCCACTGCACGCGTGTACCGTAACTTCCGGGCATATAAATACTGTGCTGTTTACCTCTGGCAGCTGGATGCTGGTCAGAAAGGATTCTCCATGTCACCAGCCCCCCACAGGGCTCAGAGGTTTTTGAGGTAAGATTAAAAAATCTTTGCTTTCTGTTAAACGGTTTAGGGTGTTAAAGGTATATTTCTGTTATGTTTCAGATATGTCTAGCCCTCAGCAAATAGATAAAGTCATGCCTCCTTCTGCAACTAGGAAGGCCTCATCCATAGCCAAACATTTAATTTGCAATGATTTTCCACCCCCCTACCGGATGGCACTAGGAATAAAGTGTGTAGTCAATGGGCAGAAATGTCTTTGGAAAAATCAAACAAAAACCAAATGCAATAGTTCCTGTCTCAGACTTTGGATTCTTTTAAAGAGTCACATAAGGTTTCTGCTGCGGTGCCTGAGGAGGTCCTTAGAGGCAGGAAAAGAAGGAAGTCTTCTTCTAATTCTGACATAATCTTCAGGCTAATGTTCGTCTACTGCTGACTCAGAGGTTTCTAGTTCATCATATTGTGTGGAGTCTGGGTTCCCACCTGATGAACTAAGGAAATTCACTAAGGAAGTGAATCAGAGTTTGTTGCTGGAAGATACTGCTAAGGGTAGGAGGTTTCCCTGTGCCTCAAGCCCTTGTTGACCTTATTTATTTTCCAGGGAAAACCTGGAAAAGCAAGCCTTTATCTCCCGGTATTTTAAAGAATTGTTCAAGATTACGGATGATGCTAAATGGAACGAATTGCCTAAAGTGGATATCGAAGTGGCTCAGCTTTCTAAAAAGACCACTATTCTGAAGGAGAAGTAGCGGCTTTAAATAATACTATGGACAAGAGGGGCAAGACCATTTGCAGGCGTGCTTTCTAGTCGGCAGGTTTCCAGTGTAAAGCTTTGCTGTCTGGGGCAGCAGTATTCGGAGCTAGTAACTTGTGGTCGCAATTTTTGGAGGAGATGATGTTGGACTCTCCAGACAAGTAACTGGTTAGGTTGCTACAAAATTTGAAATTGTCTAATACATTTATGGATAAGACGAATGAAGTGCTCAAGTTGGCTTCCAGAATCCATGGGCTTATCTTCAGTTGCCCGTAGAGCCTTGTGACTTGTGACAAAATTGGTCCTCTGGGAACTCCCATTGGAAAAACAAAAGCTGTTCGGGTCTCCTTTAGAGGAGCTCATTAAACAGATGTCTGAGATGAAAAATCCCTTCCTCAAGACAAGACATTTTCTTGGAAGCCTGGTTATAAAAATGTCCAGTATAGGTATAGAAGAACCTACTAGGATAGGCCTCCTTATTTTTAAAAAAGAGAAAAAAAATCTGAGGTTTGAGGAGAAAAAAGGGGATAGATCTGACAAGGGTAGGCGTTTCTGATGCCAAGAGAGTAGGAGGCAGAATCCAGCGTTTCTTCAAAAGATGGGAAAAAACTACAAGCAATTCATAGATTCTATATCTGTTGAAAAGAGGGTACCGATTGCACTTTCCAAACCTGCCCAAACCAAAACTTTTATCCATCCTCCCGAAAATCAGAAGCTCTGTTTGCAGAAACGGTTCTGCTATTAAAAAAAAGGGGTCATAGAAAAGGATTTGGTGACCCAGGAATTCCAAGGAATCCACTCAAGACTCTTCCTAATCTCGAAACCAGACCATTCCTTTTGGCTGATCCTAGATTAAAAAATGTGAACGAGTTTCTTCCTTACCAAAGGTTTAGAATGGAAACGATTACTTCCGTAACTCAGATTCTTCCGAAAGGGGATTTTATGGGGAAGCTGGATCTCAGGGATGCTTACCTTCATATCCCTATGGCAGTTACCTCAAGAAGATTCCTGAGATTCACCATAAAAAGGGGAAAAGAGATTTTACATTTCCAGTTCAAAGCCTATAACCGCTTATCTAAGGGAGTTGGGTGTCTCATTCCCTACTTGGATGATTGGCTGCTTATTGCAAATTCCAAAAGTTTGCTGTTGGAAAAGGTTCGGTTCACAATCCAAGTGCTTCAGGAACACGGTTGGATGCTGAACTTAAAGAAGTCAATTCTACTTCCTTTAAAAAAAATAAATAAAATAGAATTCATGGCATTCAAAATATGCTCAAGAACGTTATCTCTACATCTGACTACAGACAAAAGAAAGACAATCCGGAAAAAAGTGTCAGATTTACAGAAAAGAGATTATTACTCTATAAGACAGGCAATGAGTGTGAGAAATAAAGCCTCTTCAGTAGGAAATCCTCTCTTCTTGGTCAAAAAGAGAGGGAGACTTAGATTTGTATCTCCAGATATCTCCTCAGGTAAAAGCTCAGTTAAACTGGTGGAAAACTTCAAGTTTCCTTCAGACCGAAAGAATGCGTGGTCGTCACTACATATGTGTCAAACTCAGGCTGGGGCGCTCATCTAAATTCGTTAATGTGCCAAGGTACTTGGTCCACAGAAGACAAAAACAGGTCAACAAATTACAGAGAATTGAATTTCAGTTCTTTACGTCCTTCACCAATTCAGATCTTGGATAGAAAAGAGGCCCGTAAGAATACAGTCAGACAACAACACAGTGGTCTCTTACATCAACAGACAACGTGGCACCAGAGTGGAAAGTCTGTTTTGGCTATGTGCCGACATTATCTGCTGGGCTCAGGTTCACTAAGAAGACATCTCTGTGGTCCCCCAGCAGACAGAAATGGGATCAGAAAGAGTGGTCTCTAAACCCAAGGATATTCGACGTTCTAATAAAGAGATTTGGAATGCCCGTTGTAGACCTTATGGCAAAAAGAGAGAACACCAAAATTCAAAAAATTTTCCCTGTTCAGGACAGATCATCCTCAATGGATAGATGGTCTATCACACTTTGAAAGTCCAACTAGGTGCCTTGAGTTTTTTTCTAGTGAAGGATTTAGAGTTGCATGTTCTAATTAGGAGATTCTTCAAAGCAGTAAGGCTTCTTAGACCACCTAGGAAGTTATATATTCCCTCCTGGGATCTTTCTTCAGTCCTGCAAGCACTCTGTGAACCTCCTTTTGAACCTTTGGAGAAGGTCCCATTGAAGACTCTTAACACTCATGACGGCCTTCTTGGTGGCCATCACCTCTGCAAAAAGAGTAGGTGAACTTCAGGCTCTTTCTTCATTGGACAAATTCATTATATTCCACCAAGATAAGGTATTCCATCCTAATCCTTCATTCCTTTCGAAGGTTATCGCTTCTAGAGCTGTTAATCAGTCCATCGTTTTACCTTCCTTCTGCAGTAATGCCACCTCGTCGCAGGAACTAAAATAGAGCTGTACAGATCTGCCCAATATAGAAAATCTAATCACCTGTTTGTCAATTTCCAAGGGAAGTTTAAAGGCGGCTTCTTAGTCATCATGCAACACCTTCATCAGGCATTACAGGCTAGATGTATTCTCATCCTCTGAAGCTGCATTTGGGCGTAAGGTGCTTCAAGCAGTTGTGGTGTAATTCCCACCCAATGGGAATCTTGCTATTTCCCACAGGTACTGCACCATATGCCAGAAAAAAAATGAAATTTTTACTTACCGTAAATTCTTTTTTTCTTAATATGGTGGCAGTACAATACTCCCTCCCTCTGAATTAAAAAAATTACTTGTATTTGACATGTGTGGTGTGTTGTTTCTTGCTACGACTGAGGTGGGTTTGCCGGGGGAAGCCCTTTATGGGATAGAGGGGAGGGACTTTGAATTAACTTCTATCTTTTGAATTAAGGAGGCACAACCCACAGGTACTGCCACCATATTAAGAAAACAAGAATTTACGGTAAGTAAAAATTGAGGTTTTTTTTTCTACCTTTCTCACATAACCTGCGAGAGGGAACCTGACTTACAGATTGAAGAACAACATCTGGGGATGGTGTTTTATCCGTTGGTGGATTCAGAATTTTGTTTCATGGAAAGACTGAGTCTTATTTTTTATGCAATGAAAGACTGAGCATGGCTTGAAATAGGATATGGGTATGAGAATCAGTTATCTTTTTGTATAGTATAATATTTATGTATTTATATGTGTATATATATATATGTGTGTGTGTATATGTGTGTGTGTATATATATATATATATATAAAACACAAAACACAAGATCCAGCGCACTCACCTATCCACTAAACGGCAACTTCAATGTTGAAAGATTTTATTCGTTTTTTAAAAACACCTAATCTAGGCAAAAATAATGGGGGTTTAGTTACATTATATGATCATACATTGCATAAGCCTGCCACAACGTCAATGTACCCCATCTTTGGCAGGTCCTACACTAACAGCCTAATGTCTGCTCCTATGAGATTAACCACTTACTTGAGGAAAAAATTCCATCTGGGGCTCTCTGCAGTACAAGGCTAAATAGGGCCCTGGGATGAGGCACCTGTGACAGGGAGGGGTGCAAAACCAAGGAGTTGGCTAGACTCCCAAATATATAAATATGAAACAAGGGGGGGTTGGCTGCACTCACCTGAACATGCATAAATGGAGGTGCTGCTGGGGGCCAAATAATACAAAACACAAGATCCAGCACACTCACCTATCCACTAAACAGCAACTTCAATGTTGAAAGATTTTATTCGTTTTTTAAAAACACCTAATCTAGGCAAAAATAATGGGGGTTTAGTTACATTATATGATCATACATTGCATAAGCCTGCCACAACGTCAATGTACCCCATCTTTGGCAGGTCATACACTAACAGCCTAATGTCTGCTCTTATGAGATTAACCACTTACTTGAGGAAAAAAATTCCATCTGGGGCTCTCTGCAGTACAGTATTTTTGCCTAGATTAGGTATTTTTAAAAAAAACGAATAAAATCCTTCAACATTGAAGTTGCTGTTTAGTGGATAGGTGAGTGCGCTGGATCTTGTGTTTTGTATTATTTGGCCCCCAGCAGCACCCCCATTTATGCATGTTCAGGTGAGTGCAGCCAACCCCCCCCTTGTTTCATATTTATATATTTGGGAGTCTAGCCAACTCCTTGGTTTTGCACCCCTCCCTGTCACAGGTGCCTCATCCCAGGGCCCTATTTAGCCTTGTACTGCAGAGAGCCCCAGATGGAATTTTTTTCCTCAAGTAAGTGGTTAATTTCATAAGAGCAGACATTAGGCTGTTAGTGTAGGACCTGCCAAAGATGGGGTACATTGACGTTGTGGCAGGCTTATGCAATGTATGATCATATAATGTAACTAAACCCCCATTATTTTTGCCTAGATTAGGTGTTTTTAAAAAAACTAATAAAAATCTTTCAACATTGAAGTTGCTGTTTAGTGGATAGGTGAGTGCGCTGGATCTTGTGTTTTGTATTATTTGGCCCCAGCAGCACCCCCATTTATGCATGTTCAGGTGAGTGCAGCCAACCCCTTTTTTTATATATATATATATATATATATATATATATATATATATATATATATATATTTTAAAAAAAAAGTTTTATGGTGATTGATTCCCAATAGCTATTTATCTAAGCTTGGTATTATCCTTTACACTTCTATAAATGCAGCAGATAGCAGAGTTTCTCTATTGTCAAACACATCTTGTTACTCTAATGCCATTTTATTGCAGCATTCCTTTGGCTAATGTACTGTGAAAGTCTCAGAAAGATTATTAGCCAGTTCCGATAAAGCTTATCTAAGCAGATATTACATTATATTATGTTTTAATATCTCTGTTGCCCTAACCACCTTTTATTAATATTTACTTTCAAAACATTCATAGAACACTGCACAGCTTTAAGCACAATGTTGATATTGTTTTTGGAACTATAATCTTCTGTTATGCCTGGGGAAAAAAATCTAAAAATGTTAAACATTATATTACTAAATAAAAGCAATAATCTCATTCGTGTCTTTCTGTGTGTTTCAGAAGTCCTCTATAAACAAGGCTGATTTATTTGGCAGAATCCAAGTACTCACCTGGAGAAGGTTCTATGGGTTATATGGATGAACATTTGAATCGACTATGAGCTTCTAGTAGTGTAAAACTGGACGATAACATGGAAGCATTTGAAGTGGATGACATCAGTCCGGCTTTGGAAGTCACAGAAGACTTTTTTAGCTCTTTTGAAAAGCTAGAACATGTTGGCCATCAGGGTGAAGTCTTTGGAATTCATGAAGTCCCAGAGCTCTTGGGAAATGAGATATCCAATAAAATTATACAAGCTGATGGTCAAAATGCCAATACTTCGCAGAGTAGCATTATTTGGGAGAGGTGTAAAAGTAGTCTCTTTGATGCCAAAGCAAAGAATGGGATCCATGCCAAAGAACTTTATTCGTCAAATAGAAGAGTATTTCCTGATAGCCCCCTGAATGGTGAAGGGGATAAAGACACATCTGCTTTTAACTTCTTTAGTGCATGTCGTAGACGTGATAGACCTCGTTCCATTAATGATACACTTGCTTGGGTTGAAGAAGCACCTAAATTTAAGCGAGGTCACAACAGATCAAGATCTGATATTAGCCATCTAGACTGGACAAATGTTCGCAAGCCAGCCCCTTTACAGAGGTCTTCAAGCCAGGGAGTGCATTACACGAAGCAAGACATTGAAGGAAATACTGGTATGTGAAGATTTCTTACTTCAAATGTATTTGAAATAGCAGGGTATATGTTATTTTCTTGAATAGTGCCCCATTTCAATTTTTTTGTCCAAAATCAAAGAAACAGATGTGTCACTATGTTGATTGGCAATCCAAGACCCACTTTTTTTTCTTTTTTAAATGCATTGCAGGTAATTAACACATTAAATATATATGCAAAACCAACCAATTTATAGTAGTGAAAGATAAAGGTAATTGCTATCCATATGTTTCCTAGCTTCTTTAATTCTTTTAGTTCATGCAAAATATATTAAATTCATACATAGATTCAAACATGCAGGCTTCCAAGCACACAGGCTAGGATGGAGAGCGTAAAAAAATTGGCCTGAGCATTTTACAATCATGATTGGCCCAGTGAGAAGCGGGTGAGGATAGTGTTTTGTCATCATCAGTGACAAACACGCTCCCCACAAAGTGAGCATGTTGATTTGATGCTCTTCCAGTGCAGACCATGCACAGAGCCCTGCCGAAGAGCTTTTGCGTGGGAAGTGGATAACCTTGATTATATCATTATAATGGCATCTGTCAAGGGATGGGATATATTAGGCAGAACGTGAAAAGTCCGTTCTTAAATTTCATGTGTTGGAAGCAGGAAAAATGGGCAAACGAAAAGATCTGAAGTTTTTATGGTGCCAGAGTAACTTTACCCTTCAAACCACAATATCCCTGGTTTATACTCTCAGTTACTGATATCACAAACCATACTAACTAATATCTTTTTACTAATGATGATGCTTGTACTTATCTCTCAATACTTTCAAGTTATTGCCAACCTACACAAGGTACACAAACTGGAGTACATCTACCACTTCAAACTCCAAATCGGGCTGGTTTACAGACATCTGCATGATGCTTTATCTGAAGTTAGATTATATTCTTTTCTTTTTAAAATCACAAGGTCTACTATTTGGTCATGCTTATCTATTGCACAAATCCTACTTTATCATATGTGTATTCTAATTTTATAGAATGGACCACATTGTAAAATTTTTTTGGTCATTTTATTATTTTGTACTTTTTTTTTTTTTAATATATTGTTTTGATCTCCATTGTTAGAGACTTTGTGTGTCTAATATCTACTCATCACTTCTTACTCATTGTTTATTAAAGGGATACTGTAGTGCCAGGACTACAAAGCTGTATTCCTGGCACTACCGATCTTTTTGCCTCCCCCTCCCTCGCGCCCCCTCCCCGGTAAATAAATGGTTAAAAACCCTTTATTTACTTACTTTATTTCTGCACCAATGTCCTTCTGCGCTCGGTTGAAGATCCGCCTCCTTCTCCTTTTCCGTGAAGAGTGGGGTCACATGCACATTAAATCAATGCTTTCCTATGGGGAAAAATCTGATGCTGGAGGTCCTCATACAGAGCATAAGGACATCCAGCATCAGATAATGGACCAAAAGTCCGTTATAATAGCGGAAGCGCCCCCAGTAGCTGTCTGGTAGACAGCCACTGAGGGGAGACCTAGTGCTACACTATAAACATTGCAGTTGTCTAGAACTGCTATGCTTAACATTGCAGCACTAGATGCAAAAGGGACACAGCACCCAGACCATTGACCACTGAAGGGGTCTGGGTGCCTACAGTGTCCCTTTAATTCATAATTATTACATACCAGAGCTGAATTACCTTTTTTATTTTTTTTATTACTTCTGAATCCATTTATTAGGGGTATAGCAGTCTCCTAGTCTCATAGAATGTACATTTGGCTCAGTATATGAGTGGCTATTAGCAGGGGCGTACCTAGAGCATTTGGCACCCGGGGTGGATCCTGTGCTTGGCACCCCCCCCAAAAAAAAAAAAAACCTGTAAAAAATTTGCAAAACCGCTGTCAGCCCCTCCTACAAAACCCTTGTCCTGTCCCGCCCCTCCTACAAAACCTCTGTCCTGCCACTTCTACAAATCCTGTACTGCCTCGTCTACAAAACCCCCGCAACCCCCTTCTACAAAATCCCTGCAGCCCCACACACACATTTACAGGCAGACAGTCACACACTCAGTTACAGGCAGACAGTCACATACAGTCACAGGCAGACAGTCACATACAGTCACAGGCAGACAGTCACACATACACATTTCCTCCGTGCAGCCAGTTTATCAGCTGTTTGCTTGTGTGAGCTGTACTGGCCGCACGGCACCCTAACTACCATGGGACACTGTGCGGCCACAGCTCACACAGCCCCCTCCAGCCAGGGCCGGTGCAAGGATTTTTGCCGCCCTAGGCAAAAGTAAAGTTTGCTGCCCCCCCCATGTGACATCACAATGCCCCACCCATATGATTTGCCATGTTAATTCAACACCAGTGCTGCAGTGCCGCCGTGTTTACATTAAAAGGCCTGCAGGGACAGGCTACACACCAGAACCACTGCATTAAGCTGCAGTGGTTCTGGGGACTATAGTGTCCCTTTAATGTGAGGTAAATTAGAGATTAGTGCCACGATTAATATACTAGATTGCCTACTTACAACCAGATGAGGATGATGATGGGCTCTAGCTGCCATCTGGCTCCACTGGTCTGGTGTACAACAGGCTCTCTGGAGGCGGTTTGTAACTGTGGTCACAAAAATCAATGTTCTGGGAGAACGGGAAGCAGCTCCATTTTTTGGGGGTCCTTTACACAGCTCAAGGTCTGGTCCCAGGGTCCACCTTCATGTTCCACCAATGAGTTTGTTCACAGGGGGTGGAGTGTGTAGGGGATGTCCTGATATGTGTGTAAGGAATGCATTGTGTGAAATTGTGTTTGTATGTGTAAGGACTGCAAGGTGTGTTTCTGCGTATGTATGGGATATGGGATGCATTGAATGTGT